CAAAACAAAACAAAAAAAAAAAAAAAAAGAAAGAAAAGAAATGGAAAAAGGCAGAAAAAGAGGAGTGGAGGGACCAGGCATGGTGGTTCATGCCTGTAATCCCAGCACTTTGGGAGACTGAAGTGGGTGGATCACCTGAGGACAGGAGTTTGAGACCAGCCTGGCCAACATGGTGAAAACCCATCTCTACTAAAACAAAAAATTAGCTGGTTGCGGCAGACACCTGTAATCCCAGCTACTCGGGAGCCTGAGGCAGGAGAATCACTTGAACCTGGGAGTTGGAGGTTTCAGTGAGCTGAGATCGTGCCCCAGGCAGAAATGCAGCATGGTATTTGCCTAGGTATGAAATGCGAGAGTGAGCAAAACAGCCCTAGGCCCACCCCTTGCAGAGCTTATGGTCCAGTGGAGGAGACAGAACTGTCGCCAGTGACACCCAGGATTGGTCAGGACTGGGATATGGGAGCCCCAGGGGCTGAAAGAGCCCAGAGGGGGCACCTGACCCAGCGTGGGCACGTCCAGGAAAGCTTCTTGAAAGAGACAGCCGAGCTGCGTCTGTGGAGGACAAGTAGGAATTAGCGGATATGTAGGAGAGAAAAATCCATAAAATCAAAAGATGTTTTTCTGAAAAGATTAACACTAATCAAGGGGAGAAAAAAGAAAGAAAACACAAGTTTTTATCAAAAGCAAGGAAAAATGAGACATCAATACAGTTCCTAACGTAGGATAGCAGGGGGATATTAGGAACAACTTAAGCCAATAAATTTGGTAACATAGGCTGGGCACGGTGGCTCACGCCTGTTAGCCCAGCACTTTGGGAGGCTGAAGTAGGTGGATCATTTGAAGTCAGGACTTTGAGACCAGCCTGGCCAACATGGTGAAACCCCACCTCGACTAAAAATACCAAAAAAAAAAAAAAAAAAAATTAGCCGGCATGGTGGCAGGTACCTGTAGTCCCAACTAATTGGGAGGCTGAGGAAGGAGAATCGCTTGAACCCAGGAGGTGGAGGTTGCAGTGAGCCAGGATCACCCCACTGCACTGCAGCCTGGACGACAGAGCGAGACTCTATCTCAAAAAAATACAAATAAAAATTGGCAACATAGAGAAAACAGTTTCCTTGGAAAACACAATTTAGCAATATTCACATGAGAAGAAACGAAATCTGAGTAGTTATATCTGTTAGAGATGTTGAATGCACCTTCCCATGAAGGAAACTACAGGTACAAGGCTGGTGCAGTGGCTCACACTTGTAATTCCAAGTTTGGGAGACAGGTTGGAGAATCTCTTGAGCTTGGGAGTTAAAGACTGCAGTGAGCCATGATCACCCCCCTGCACTCCAGCCTGGGGGACACAGTGAGACCCTGTCTCAAACAAAAAAGGAAAACCACAGGTTCCGATGGCTTCACTGGTGAATTCCTCCAAACATTTAAGAAAGAAAGAACACCGTCTAGTCGCGGAGGCTCACGCCTGTAAGCCCAGCACTTTGGGAGGCCAAGGCAGGCAGACCACCTGAGGTCAGGAGTTTGATATCAGCCTGGTGAAATATGGTGAAACCCCGTCTTTACTAAAAATACAAAAATTAGCTGGGAATGGTGGCATGCGCCTGTAATCCCAGCTACTTGGGAGGCTGAGTCAGGAGGATTGCTTGAACCCAGGAGGCAGAGGTTGCAGTGAGCCGAGATCGTGCCTTTGCACTCCAACCTTGGCAACAGAGCGAGACTTTGTCTTGAAAAAAAAAAAACAAAAACAAAAAAACAGAACATACAGTAAAAACTGCATACAAATCCCCTGTAGAAATGGGGGTGGGTGGAAGGGCAGGCCACATGGGGACAGAGCACTCACCTTTCATAGCGGGGTTGGATTACGAGTAGTAAGGATGGTATAGATCTGGACAAACCTCCAGCTGAGTTCAGAAATGAGTGAGGAATGCTTACTGCGAGCTGTCCAGGAGATGGCGCTAGGGGAAAACAGGCTGGTGAGGGCAGTAGTTGAGGGTTCCTCTGAGGAGGGGACTTTGACTTTACATTTTATAGTGTGAGCACTTTGTTTTCTTGCAGTGTGTTACTTTTATTTGCGGGGGATGGGGGGAAGAGTGGGAGGTGATGATGGGGGGAAATGGTAGGTTTGTTCTTTTCTTCTAACCAATTCCTTCTGATTGCTGCGTAGAGGACAATTGCAGAGGGTGAGGCTGGGGCCAGCATATGGGAAGGAGGCTGGAGGTGGGACCCACTTTAGCGTTAGGCTTAGATCTAATGAGCACCATGCGCAGGCCTGGCCTGGCACTGGGGGTGCTGGGGACACAGCAGTGACCATGACAGCTCTGGGCCCTGCTCTTGTGAGGCTTACAGCCCAGTGAGGGAGACAGATGGCAGACAAGTAACTAGATAGCCACCATTCCTGATTGTGACAGGCACTCAGAAGGGGATAGACGGGGTGTATTCCTCCTGTTCTCGAGGTCAGGGAAGGGACGTGGGTCAGAGCTGGGATGGAGCCTGGACCAGGACAGCAGAAGGGAGTCCACTGGGAGAGACGTTCAAGATGCAGAATGGACCCGACATGCAGCAGAGAGGCCATGGGAGGAGGGCAACAGCTGGGATGAGGCCCTGGTCTCTAGCTAGGGGACAGGTGGATGTGAGGCCAGGAGCTGGGTTCAGGTTCGGACACGCTGAGTGTGAGGTTTCTGGGAGACATCTGGAGCCCGTCATCCCCCCCCAGGTCTGATGAGTCCTCCAGCGTATCCCGTCCCGGCCCCTCACAGCTATCCCTTCTTCATAGCTCTTCATTCCTACCTGGACCGTGTTTCCTGAACCCCACATCTGACCGCTGGCCCGAGGGAGAATGTTGTCGGCCCCCACTCTGAAAGCCCTCGAACACGTGCCTGTGTGCGCACACACACACCCTCTTTGATTTGATTTCCTGTGCCCTGGGTATGTGCGCACTCCAATTGGCACACCCAGACCTACCTGCTCGTCCAGATCCCCATGCTTGGTCTACACTCAGACACTTGCGATTGCACGCTGGGACCCTCACCCAGGAAGGCCAGAGGAGCTGGAGCCCTCGCTGCTCACCACTCTCTGGCTACCGTGCTAGGTGTCCCTGATGTGAAAGAGGCAGTGACAGTTACGGACCCAGCTCTGGGCTGACCAACAGGGCTGCCATGTGTCATTGTCAGGATGCTGTCCTTCCTGTGTTACAGAGGGGGTCGGGGAAGGCTATCATTGCCCAGGCAGCACGTGACAGAGCCCTGGGGCGACTCCAGGTCAGCCTGACCCTAAGACCTCAGTGTGGGAGGGGTCTCCACAGCCTGGACCTCAGGAACCCACAAGCCCAGGGCCTAAGCCACAGTCAGCTCTAGGAGAAACTGTAGCACCTGACAGTGAATGCCTGGGCTCTGGGTTCACTGCTCAGGTCTTCCCTCCAGCTCCAGCAGAGCTTCCCAAGCCTTCCTGCCACCCTACCGCCGTTGAAGATGAAAAATCGTGTAGTGGCTGGGCGCAAGGGCTCTCGCCTGTTGTCCCAGTACTTCAGGAGGCTGAGGCGGGATGATTGCTTGAGCCCAGGAGTTCAAGACCAGCATCAGCAACATAGCAAGGCCATATCTCTACAAAAATTAAAAAAAAGAAAAACAGCCAGGCATGATGGGGCACCTGTAGTTCCTATAGTTCCAGCTGCTCCAGAGGCTGAGGGGGAGCATTGCTTGAGTCTAGGTGTTCGAGGTTGCAGCGAACTGTGATGGACCCACTGCCTTCCATGCCGGACAACAGAGTGAGATCCCATCTGTTAAATAAATAAATGTGACGCAATATGGCAAGAATCCGTCTCTACCCACCCCCTAAAAATGTAGCCAGGCGTGGTATGGTTGCATGCACCTGTAGTTCCGCTACTTGGGAGGCTGAGGTGGGAGGATGACTTGAGCCTGGGAGGCAGAGGTTGTAGCAAGCCAAGATTGCACCACTGCACTCCAGCCTGGGGGACAGAACAAGATCCTGGCTCAAAAAAAAAAAAAAAAAAAAAAAAAATCATGTGCCCTCTAGTGTGTTTTCAAGTTGACAGCTGAAACTTTTCTTCATAACCTGAAGTAGTTGTGAAGGATATAATTTCTGGTTCTGGTGTGTTATGATATTGACGTGTTCAAACAGCTGGTAGATCCTTCCCTTCATATTTATTGCCGTTCACTTAACAATAATAATGATCTGATGCCTACCAATGTCTGGTTTAAAGACATGTATATAAAAGGCCAGGCATAGTGGCTCAAGCCTGTGATCCCAGCACTTTGGGAGGCCAAGGCAGGCAGATCGCTTGAGCTCAGGAGTTCGAGACCAGCCCGGGCAACATTCTGATACCCTGATTTTGATACTGAAGGTGTACCGCTAGTTCCAGCTACTCAAGGGACTGAGGTGGGAGGATCACTTGAGCCTGGAAGGTCAAGACTGCAGTGAGCCGTGATTGTGTCATGACACTCCAGCCTCGGTGACAAAGCAAGACCCCATCTCAAAATAATAAAAAAGAACAAGGTCTTCTTTTTAGTCAGAAATTTCACATGGTTTGTTTTTATTCATGTACTTTTAAATTTACAGTCCACATACCCACAGAATTCCATCTAATGATTTATATGTCAGCAACCAAAATACATACAGAAATGTACATGTTAATTTCCTGTGACCATAAGGTTCTAAATGCTGAATTACTTTCTTCTGGATTGAGTTAACTTTGAAATTATTGTTAGTGCACAGTTCCTTTAAAACGTTCATCTGTTATACATTTTCATGACTTATTACCAAACCTTAAAAGTAAAAGGAGATGTTGGAAATTAATCTGCAAAGGCACTAGACAAGGGTCCCCTCTATGGTTTCATGTGCCCTTGGATGAATATTAATTATTGCAGGAGTGAGTCAGGGTACAGCATCCATTCTGCATTGGTTTTAAAGGCTCAAGTGCTGAGAATCTTCCTTCGTAAAGAAGCAGCTAGGCAAGGAAGGAGTTTTTGTTACAGCAGTACCACTCACCTCTTGAGCTGCCTCCAAGGTATGTGTCCCAAACCTCCCTGTGAAGAGCCCCAGCTCTTAGCTCCACCTTCAGGGCTGGTGAAATTCTAGGACTGGAGCCATCAGACTTGCAAAAATGGTTGATCACTACGTGTTCAGAGGCACTTAGCATCGACTCCCGCCTTAAGCTGCCCTTTCTTTGTAGCCAGGAGCCCCCACACCCTCTCCTTAACTGCAGCCCCAACTCTGCGCTTTGAGAAAATAACGCAAGAAAGGGGGTTGGTCCTTCTCTTGGGAAGTGGGTGGGGCAACAGTGCCAGGACAGGACTGCTGGGCTGGCGATGGCTTAAGGGAGGAACAGGGAGCTAAGCATCTGGCAACAGGACCTTTACACCTTCCATGAACTTGGCCCTGTGGGAGCTTCTGGTATCCTTTCTGGGGTGTGACCCCCCAAGTCTGAGCACCTCCCCTCTGGGCAGTTTTCCTCATTCCTGGCTAACTTGCTAGAATCTTCTGGTCTTTTGAAAGACCCCTGGGTTACCCAGGCTAGGTGACTGCATTCCCTGGGTGAGAGGGGTAGGGCTTGCGGGGGCACCCAGAGTGCGGCCTGACTCTTTCTTCCCTCGCAGTGTACCACTGGGTGGAGATGCGGACCAAGATGCGCATCATGGGCTTCCGGGGCACGGTCATCAAGCCGCTGAACGAGGAGGCGGCCGCCGAGCTCGGCGCGGAGCTGCTGGGCGAAGCCACCATCTTCATCGTGGGCGGTGGCTGCTTGGTGCTGGAGTACTGGCGCCACCAGGCGCAGCAGCGCCACAAGGAGGAGGAGCAGCGCGCTGCCTGGAACGCGCTGCGGGACGAGGTGGGCCACCTGGCGCTGGCGCTCGAAGCGCTGCAGGCGCAGGTGCAGGCGGCGCCGCCACAGGGCGCCCTGGAGGAACTGCGCACGGAGCTGCAAGAGGTGCGCGCCCAGCTCTGCAACCCCGGCCAGTCCGCGTCCCAGGCAGTGCCTGCGTCCAAGAAATAGGAGCTTGCTGGAGCCTGAATTTGGGCGTGGCCGTATGTACCTAACAGTGGCCTTCTTCCCGCACCACCGCTGCCTGCGCTGGCCCACGGGAAGCCACCAGGATCTTGATGCAACTTGGTATTTGGTTACCCCGGCTGATGAGGGCAGTGTTTACCTGCCACTGGGACCAGCAGGCAAAGCGTTGCAACATAACCTCCTCCATCATCCTTTACCCCCTTACCCCACTCCAAACCAGGACGACCTGCAAGGCCCCAGCCAGCAGGACATCGCGGGCACTCTGGCAAATGAAAAAGTGGAACCTGGGCTTGAGCTGACTCCAATATATTATTGTTACCCCCACCCCCGGTTTACCTGATCAGTGTTAACCTTTCCTGGGACACTCCTCCCTTACACTGGAACACCCCCTTCTTTTTGTCAATCGGTACAGACCACTGTAAGGAAATGAAGTGTCTTGCAATGGCCTTTTCTCCCCATCACCTTCAACGTCATCTCTAGCTGGGGATCACTGCTCTCTTCAGGAGAAAAAAGATGTGTCTGGGAGCTGTGGCTGAGGCTGGTAAACCCAGCACTTTGGGAGGTGGAGGCAGGCAGATCACTTGAGGTCCAGAGTTCAAGACCCGTCTGGCCAGTATGGTGAAACCCCATCTGTATTAAAAATACAAAATTTGGCTGGGCATAATCCCAGCACTTTGGGAGGCTGAGGCGAGCGGATCACTTGAGGTCAGGAGTTCGAGACCAGCCTGGCCAACATGATGAAACCCCATCACTACTAAAATTACAAAAACTAGCCAGGCTTGGTAGCACGTGCCTGTAATCCCAGCTACTCGGGAGGCTGAGGCAGGAGAATTGCTTGAACCTGGGAGGTGGAAGTTGCAGTGAGCCAAGATGGCACCATTGTACTCTAGCCTGGGCAACAGAGCAAGACTCTGTCTCAAAACAAAACTGAAAATTAACCGCGCATGGTGGTGGGTACCTGTAATCCCAGCTACTTGGGAGGCTGAGGCAGGAGAATTGCTTGAAGCCGGGAGGTGGAGGTTGCAGTGAGCTGAGATCGTGCCATTGTACTCCAGCCTGGGTCATAGAGCGAGACTGTCAAAAAAAAAAAAGAACCCACAAAAGGTCCTGGCCTGCAGTCAATCCGTGGAATCACTGTAACTCCTAGAGGCCCCAAGCGGACTATTCCAGCAGAACCCCCTCATCCTTGAGTCTATGGCACAGCCCACTGGAATGGCGCTGCAGGGGCTTTTCTGGCAATGTCCTCCAACCCCCTTTCCATGGTGGAAAATTTGATCCTAATTAGGGCTAATCCAGCCTGTCCTTCAAGCCTCGGCCTCCTGTTTTCCTGTCCTCAGAGTCCCTGGACCTTGTACTGCATGGCGGGTCCTTTCTTACCTTCCCCACCGTGCTCAGTAGCATTTCTCAGGGCCCCAGTCAAATCCAAGTCCGTGATTCAATTGTCACATCCTCCATCTTCCATCCGCGTCTCCGGATCTGTGTGTTCTTGCTTGCTTTCTTCGCAGCTCTGGACTGATCTGCCAGTCCATCTTTATATAGCGGTATCTTCCTGCCTCCACAGTCCCCAGTCCCATTCCCATCCCACTGATTAGGCCACCAGTTGGCCTTAACTCCTTGATTAATTTCCTGGGGCTGCCATAACAGGTCACCACTGGCTCGTGAACTTGATGGCTTGAGGCCAACAGGAATTTAATTCATGTGGTTCTGGAGTCCCGAAGTCTGAAACCAAGGTGCTGACAGGGACAGCTCCCTCTTCCAGCTCCTGGTGACTCCAGGCCTTCCCTGGCTCTGCCTCCAGCTTCACATGGCCTTCTCCTTCTTCTGTTTTGTCTCTTACAAGAACACGTGCCATTGCAGTTAGGGTTGATCTTAAGTTCAGGATGATCCCACCTCAAGACCCTTAACCTAATCACATCTTTTAAAAAACCTTTTTTTCAAATAAGCTGTCATAATCACAGGTCCTGGGGGTTAGTATGTGGACGTGTCTGTTGGGGGTCCACCATTCAAGCCATTCAGCCCACTACTACTCCCCACCCCAAGAGTATGCTGGCGTCTAGGCGCAGTGGCTCACACCTGTAATCCCAGCACTTTGAGAGACCAAGGCAGGAGGGATCTGTGAGCCCAGGAGTTGAAGACCAGCCTGGGCAACATAGTGAGACCCCATCTCTATAAAAGTAAAAAATGATTCAGGTGTATTGGTGCATGCCTGTAGTCACAGCTACTTGGGAGGCTGAGTCAGGAGAATCACCTGAGCCCTGGAGGTTGAGGCTGCAGCGAGCCGTGATCATGCCACTACACTCCAGCCTGGGTGACGGAGTGAAACTCTGTCTCAAAAAAAAAAAAAAGGACTCTGGGACTCCCACCAACCCCCAGGCCATGTGGCCTTTCTTCTAGCTGAGAGGAGCAGTCTAGGAACCACCTTCTGCCACTGGGTTTCTCTTCCAGGATGCTCCACTGAAGCGGGAGGCGGGTGGGCCCCACTAGCCTGCAGTCTGCCGTTCTGACTGTAGCTGTCTTCTAATTAGAGGAGCCGCAGGGTGATGAAGGCTTCCTGAGTATGTGTCTGAGAACTGTCACGTGGATCGCCACAGTGGGTACCGAGCTTATTAAAATCAGGAAGGAAGCTGGGAGGGCTCTACTGGGGAGAGGCCCAAAAGTCACTCTACAGGCTGGGGAAGCTAAGACCAAGGGTAAGCAAGGGGACTTGCCAGAGGTGCCACAGCCAATGAGGGGCTGACTGCCCAGGGTGGTGAAGTAGCAGGGGCAGAGTGAGGAGAGAGAGGCAGTGACCGATCGGAGGCTGGGGGGTGGCCATCTCTCCACAGGCCCAGGGCATCCCGGAGGTGGCGCTGGCAGTAGGGGGCCATCTCTATCCCCTCTCAGAGCAGCCCTGGATCACACCTGAGATTCTAGCATTGAGTAAACGGGGTGACCATTCACCTGGGCCGGCTCCTGGGAGGCTGCAGGTGAAAGTGGGAGGGCGGGATTTACCCCACTTCCACCGTCACCTCCCTCTAAGGAGGTAAAAATGGCCTGAACCAAGATCTGCCAGATAGAAAGCCAAGAAACAGGTTCTGAAATAGCATTTCTTTTCTGTTTTGTTTTGTTTTGTTTTCTTTTTTGAAGACAGAATCTAGCTCTCTTGCCCAGGCTGGAGTGCAGTGGCCCGATCTCAGCTCACTGCAACTTCCACCTACCAGACTCAAGCAATTCTCCTGCCTCAGCCTCCTGAGTAGCTGGGATTACAGGCACATGCCACCACGCCCAGCTAATTTTTGCATTTTAGTAGAGACCAGGTTTCACCAGATTGCCCAGACTGATCTCGAACTCCTGACCTCAGGTGACCCGCCCGCCTTTGCCTTTCAAATGCTGTGATTACAGGCGTTAGCCACCTCATCTGGCCTGAAACAGCGTTTCAATTCGTTCTAGAAGAGGGGGAGAAGCTGGAGCAGAGGGAACTGACCACGTGGGTCCTGAGTGGGGCTGTGACCCAGCCCAGGTGTGGTGGCTCACACCTGACATCCCGGCACTCTTAGAGACCGAGGTGGATGGATCACATGAGGTCAGGAGATCG